ATCAATAACTAACTCTTTTACCTCTAGACTGGGACAGGATTCTTTATAAACACTCATTACCTCTCCTATCACATCTCTTCTTAGAGACACCATATTGTCACTGTAACCTTTCTCACAGGACATCATTACTAGTACACACTGGCTCTCATCCACAATCTCTACCAGTGATCCTACACCATGACCATTAAACCAATAAAGTCCATTCTTCCAAAATGTACAGTAACGATTTAACTTGTCATCTTCTTGAGGTAGAGCCATTTTGTAAGCAAGACGTAATGAGAGGACATGGAAGTATCGAGGAGGAAAGAAATAATGTTTACTAGTACACTGTAGACACCAACCAAACTGGTACACTTGACTAGTCACCTCATCAGGTCTATCAGTAGACAAAAGACATGAAAAAAACAACATTTCTCCTCTTCTTTCTGTCCCTCCCTCCTCCTCCTCTTCCACTGCTAACTGATGGAGGTTTGTCATTGTTAGGAAAGATGGATTCATTTGTTGACAGAGTTCCATGTTCTTTAGAAAACAGATCAACATGTCAGGATCATATTTAGGGAAGAGTCTAGTCAGACCAGACACTCCAACAATACCAGTATTGCTAGCAATATCAACATGTTCTTTGAATGTCTCTGAAGCAAAAAGAATTCCATTCACCTCAGTTAGTAGTATACCCTTATTCACAACAACCCATATCTTCTCTTTACTTTTAAGAACACTGATCAAACCAGTTGAGTGCAACGAATCAAGAACATCCAAGACGTCTTCTCTCTTATGTGGTATAAAATAATCATTATTGTCCTTACCAGCAGACATTACATCAGAGAGGGTCAGTATATTCTCTTTCCTTTCCTCCAGTAGACCATACATCATGTGACAATAAAGACTCAAATTCCTTCCACTTGTACTACGAATGGATTCACAGGCACTAGACAACTTATTAAAGAAGGAATCCATACCACTCCCACCAAGCTTACGACAATCTAAGAAGACACTATCACACCTTTCCCTTACAATAATCTCCTGTATTTCTTCCTTTCTCCTTCTCTTTTCAACAGGATTGCTTATCTCATCCACATGACTGGCTATTACAATAACATGGCATTGATTAAGAGCTTTCTGTGCTTCATTTCTGACAACTGTTAGCCACTGATAAAGCTGTTTGACTGGTTCCTTCTCCAATATATTGACTACTATCAGGAACACACCACCAGAACCTTGTAAGAGATTCTCAATGACAGCACTGTGACTGGAGTAGTATTCGGAATGACCAGCAAAATCATGAAGAATGATGTTACCCAGTGTCCTGTGTTTTAGTTTATAAGGAATGATACCAGCAGTACAGGGCACTACCTCTCCAACATTTCTAAAGGAACCAAGAAGAGTAAAACTAGCTGTGTCATTGATGACATGACTAAGAGTACTTTTACCAGCTCCAGGATTACCCACAAGGAGGACGTTAACATAAGAATCAATTGGATGAGATGACTTTATATTACCAAACTTCTTAAAGATAGGAAGAGTATTATTCCCACCTTCCTGCTTTTCCTCTTTAGCTAGTTGTAATGGTGTTCTCCCCTCATAGTCTTTAGCCAATGGATCACATTTACCAGTTGATAATAAGCATTCAACAGATAAAGAACGACCACAACTAGCAGCATAGTGAAGAGGTGTCCGCCCACTCCTGTCAACAGCCATTGGATCACAGTTATACTTATTGATTAGATATTTGATTAAATCAGGTGAGTTGTTCTTAGTGGCTACTTTATGA